CTTTCAAATTATATTCCTAGCTGAGTGGGATCCTGTTATTGGGAACTCTGCAGGCTTCTGCTTTCTGTCTTATCTTACATCAGTGTGCAAGAAAGTCCAAGAATTTGTTGGAAGTCAGACCTTCAAAGTCCTTGCAGATAATTAAAATTTGAGAAGTTTAAGCCAATATGAACATCACTGATGAGTCCACATTAAGGTATGTCAGTGCAGAAGAATCAAATTACTGGATGCTTTCATCAAATAAACATTTATTTAACCTATTAGAGAAGATTTTTTTCTTTTTTTGAGTTAATCTTGAATGATGAAATAGTGTGCGAAGTGTAATCTGTGTAAAAAACAAACAAACAACCTCAGCTATTTACATATATTTACACACATTTACATATGTGGAATTGGTTGTAAATGAGCTCCTGGAGTCAGTATGTGGGTAGTTCTCAGAGGATGTCCATTTAATGCTCAGTAATAGTGATACAACAAAGACATCTTGCTTTTTATAATACTTGCTTAGTAAACAAAGCTTTTATCTTGCTGTACATCTTGCATGGAGTGTTTTATGTCCTTATCTTAAAATTAATACTTGCGGTATAAATAATGGCAGTAAAGATGCTGAGGTAGAGAGCATCACCTATTCGTGGATAGCCTAAATAGATAAGGATATTTTAGCCTGAAAAGGCAGAAGGGTTAAGCACGATAAAGATACCTTGTACCTTGATAAGTGTAAACAGGTGAGTTGAGAATGGATATTCGCTGTTTCTCTGGTGCTGTTGAACGTTATGTCCTGTAATTGCAAGGTGATGGCTGGAAACCAGAAAAGTAATTTGTGTAAGATCCCTGTATCCATGCTCTGTTTCTCTAATTCTTTCTCCTAAGCTTCTGCTCTTTGCTGCTGTTGGGGACAGAATATTGAGCTAGAGGAACAGGAATTGCTGAAAAAGCCTTCACTCTCTTCCTTTGCCTTTGTTCTGATGATCAGTAAAGCATGTATTGCTGTATTGATGAACAATTTCAAGTGTAACTAGTTGAGGGAAGAAGCTTTTTTTGCAAATGAGAAATTATTCTTTCAAGTAACTAAGAAATTAAACTGGATCCTGCCTATGAACAAAAATTATTTGTATGCCTGAATACTTGTCTTCTCTGTCATATCTTACCCTTTTCCTACTGGGATGACAAGATTTTTGGGTAATGGATGGAAGCAGCTATAATTTTTAAACTCTTAAAACTTATTCTAAAACCACTGGGGTGTTTTGTTTTGTTTCAGTGTCCCCTTTTCTCCTGGGTCGTGCTCTGTGGGCCGCCAGCCGTTTTACAGTGGCTATGTCTCCAGAACTAATCCAGCAGTTCCTGCAAGCTACTGTCAGTGGTCTGCATGAAACCCAGCCTCCTTCTGTCCGAATCTCTGCAGTCAGAGCTATCTGGGGGTGAGTAAACCCTAAGATATTCCAAAGCCCCAGGAACAAGTGATATAAATTACAGTTATAAAACTGGTGTTTTAAAATATTGATAACATTTCTGTATAGACTGTGGGAGTACTTGCTTTGAATGAAATAGATGCCAACTTTAAAAGTGTAAGCAAGCATGTTCAAAATAGAATAACTAATGAGAAATATGAAATTGAAATTCAAAGTTGGCTATGATAAAATGTTAGAATGTCCCAAAGAAAAGCAGAACTAGACAGCAATGGAAAGCATAAAGATGAAACCTAGATTGCTCCTGTTCAGTCACAAAGGTGACTGAATGACATAACACGGGCTTGTGGAGCAAATCACAGCAATAAGGAGTGATTGGATTTGTTTGGGGGTTTTTTTTAATCCTGTTTTTGTAAATAAGTTGCAAGAAGGAAAAAGGAAGATCTGCTGTATTAATTCTAAAGTGAAAAATGAACGTTAGTGATAAAACAAAATCAACCAAACACAAAAAAGCACAAAAAAACTACAAAATTCCTACTCTTCCCCAGCCTCTCCCCTCAAAAAAACCACCTTGTGTTCTGTTTGCACTGAAATGTTAATGAATAAGTAAAGGCAGAGACTTACAACTTAGTTATTCCTAAGTTCCTAATGGAATTGTTTTATCCTTCCCTAGCTCACTTGTAGAACATGGTAATTAAACACTTTGTAAGCAGTGAGTGTCTGTCTCGGGCTACTTTTTTCCTCAAGGTTTATTTTCTCCATCGATAGGCATTTCTTAAGGGAGAACTGTTACTAAGAGGCAGTAGAAGCTTTTAACATCACTTGACTCAACTCTGCTTCTGTGAACCATCGCGGGTGTTATGAGGAGGAAGGATAGCTGAGCTGTTGAGAGATCAAGGAATAGTAGACTGAAGGGGAAAAGTCCTAGAGGAGTGAATTTGAGGAATAAGAATTGAGTGGAGTGAAGTAACCCCTTACATATAATCTGGAGTTAAATGTATAAATCACTTTAATTAATTATGTATGTATTTTGTTATCACAAATTTCTTGTCTAGCTACTGTGACCAGCTGAAGATCTCTGAGAGCACCCATGTGTTGCAGCCTTTCCTTCCTAGCATTCTTGATGGACTGATCCACTTGGCAACTCAGTTCAGTTCGGAGGTCCTGAACCTCGTGATGGAGACGCTGTGCATTGTCTGTACGGTAGACCCAGCATTTACAGCAAGTGTGGAGAACAAAATCTGCCCCTTCACAATTGCAATATTTTTGAAGTACAGTAACGGTAAGCATTCAAGTTACATACTCAAAGTAGAGTTGTTTTTGCTACTGAATCCTGGTGCTGAGAACTTAATGATAATTGAATGAACATCGATTCATTCAATGGTAAAGCTAGAAGGGAAACTTGCTGCTTTGCCTATTCGAAATAGCGGTAGCAAAAATTGAGATGTGTTTGTTAGTATGTTGTAGTAAATGGTGCTTTCTCTCTCCAGATCCTGTTGTTGCTTCTCTTGCCCAAGATATCTTTAAGGAGCTAGCTCAGATAGAAGCCTGCCAGGGTCCAATGCAGATGAGGCTAATACCAACTCTTGTCAGCATCATGCAGGCCCCTGCTGACAAGATCCCAGCAGGGCTTTGTGCAGTAAGTGCTACAGTGGTACATGGTCTTAGCTGGAGATTATTCCCTCTTCTTTCACATCTAGGATGGCTGATCTGCAAAGAGTAGAAAGGTTGCTTTTGAACTGCTTTGGAACAATGACTTTGGTCCTTGGTAGAGGTTTCTTTGTGGAGAGAAGGCTAACTGCAGGTGGGGGGAGATGCTTCCAACAATTAACTTTAAACTGCTTCTCTGGCCTTCTTCCAGTCTCTGCAGCGTATCCCTAGTCATTTTGCTTTGACATAGCTATCTTTCACCAGTTACAGTCTCCTCTTTTTGGTAGAATGTTCTCCAGCAGGGTACATGACTATTCCTTGCACTTTTTTCTAAGGCTCTTTCTGATTTATATGTCAGATATGTATAAATTGCTGGAGATAAATTATACAGGTTTGTCCTTTCTATAAAAAGTCTGCTTATAAAAGATTAAGCATTGACTATGTAGAATGATTGTATGGAATTAAACATCTTTATGAATATGCTTATAATCTGCCTGTTGATTGGTATGACTGTAACACTTGCTTATGGGTAATTAAGATAAATTTAAATCAATATAAACAAACTGGAACAAGTCAGCTAGAACAGTTCTCTTGCTGTACTGATGGGCGTGCATCAGGGTACCATGAAACTGTTGGCCATGTTGAGGTGATTACACTGCTTCTAGTGCTTGAACTGCCTTGAGAACTTTTACAGCACACAACATGCGTCCATGTCAGATACAGTGATGCTTGTCTGCGTGACTCCAAGGTCTTCTCATTTAAAAAATATCCTAGACTGTAAAATCAAGATGTGATCACAGTACTGACTCACATCCCTCCAGTTTACAGCTTTGATGCTTGCACTAGTGGTGGGTGATGCTGAGTGTACTATGGCTGCTGCTGTAACAGTCCTTTTGTTTGTGTTTTCCTTTCAGACTTCTATTGATATATTGACCACAGTTGTGAGGAATACAAAACCTCCTCTGTCCCAGCTCCTGATCTGCCAAGCATTCCCTGCAGTGGCTCAGTGCAGCTTGAACACAGATGACAATGCTACTATGCAGGTAACACTGTGGGGAGTGGTGAGGATTGCAGGGCTATGCAGGTCCAAGAGAGGTGACCAAGTAGGACAGGTGACATAGCCTTTAAGGGAGCCCAGGCTTTGCTTGCTAATAATGATACCAGCAGCTCCTCATTAATCATAGAATCATAGTGGTTGGAAAAGACCCTTAAGATCATCGAGTCCAACCATTAACCTGTCACTACCGATCCCATCTCTAAACCATATCCCTGAGCACCTCATCTACCTGTCTCTTAAATACCACCAGGGATGGTGACTCCACCACTTCCCTGGGCAGCCTGTTCCAATGTTTGACTACCTTTTCTGTGAATAAATTTTTCCTAATATCCAACCTAACCCCCCCCTGGTGCAACTTGTAGCCATTTCCTCTGGTTCTGTCACCAGTTACCCGGGAGAAGAGACCGACACCCACCTCTCTACAACCTCTCTTCAGGTAGTTGTAGAGAGTGGTAAGGTCACCCCTCAGCCTCTTCTTCTCCAGACTAAACAACCCCAGCTCCCTCAGCCTTTTGCATGGGGTTGTTGTGACCCAGGTGCAGGACCTGGCACTTGGCCTTATTGAACTTCATACCACTGACCTCAGACCATCGATCTAGCCTGTCCAGGTCCCTCTGCAAAGCTTTCCTACCCTCAAGCAGATCATCACTGCAGCCCAACTTGGTATCATCTGTGAACTTCCTGAGGGTGCACTTGATGCCCGCATCCAGATCATTGATAAATATATTAAACAGGACTGGCCCCGACACTGATCCCTGGGGATCACCACTGGTGACCGGGCAACAACTGGACTTAGTTCCACTCACCACAACTCTCTGGGCCCAGCCATCCTGCCAGTTCTTTACCCAGCAATGAGTACATCCATCCAAGCCATGAGGGGCCAGTTTCTCCAGGAGAATGCTGTTGGAAACAGTGTCAAAGGCTTTCCTAAAGTCCGAGTTTGGAAACAGTGTCAAAGGCTTTCCTAAAGTCTGAGTACACCACGTCCACAGGCCTTCCCCCATCCACTAAGCGTGTCACCCTGTCATAGAAGGAGATCAGGTTGGTCAGGCAAGACCTGCCTTTCATAAACCCGTGTTGACTGGGCCTGGTCCCCTGGTTGTCCTGTGTGTGACAAATGATGGCACTCAGGATTATCTGTTCCATCACCTTCCCTGGCACTGAGGTCAGACTGATAGACCTGTAGTTGCTTGGATCATCCTTCCAGCCCTTCCTGTAGATGGGATCCTGTAGATCCAGAACCTCCCCGGTTTGCCAGGACTGCTGATAAATGATGGAGAGTGGGTTGGTGAGCACTTTGGCCAGCTCCCTCAGTACCCTGGGGTGGACACCATCCAGCCCCATAGACTTGTGGATGTCTAAATGGTGCAACAGGTCACTAACCATTTCTCCTTGGATCATGGGAAATGAGTCTCTACCATCTCCAGTTTATCATGACAGTACTGCTGTTCAAGGGCCTGCGGTGACATTTATCGTAGAATCATAGAATGAGATTCAGAGAGCATCCTGTCCTACCGTTACAGATCGAGGCAAAGAAGGGGCGTTAAGTACCTCAGCCTTTCCCTCACCCTCTATCACAGTGTTTCCCTGTGTATCCAATAAAGGTTGAAGATTCTCCTTCGCTCTCCTTTTGCTACTAATGGATTTATAGCAGCATTTTGATTGACTTTTACTGATGCAGTTAGACTAAGTTCTAGCTGGGCTTTGGCCAGCTAGATTTTCTCCCTGCACAGCCTCACCAGGTCTTTGTAGTCCTCATGAGCTGCCTCATGAGAGAGTCACTCCTTCCACAGATTATAAACCCTTCTTTTTTTCCTGGGCTCCAGCCTAAGCTTCCTGTTCAGCTGGGCCTGTCTTCTTCCCCGCTGGCTCGTCTTTCAGCACATGGGGACAGTCTGCTCCTGAGCCTTTAAAATTTCCTTCTTAAAGAGTGTCCAGCCTTCCTGAACACCTTTGCCCTTCAGGACTGCCTCCCAAGGGACTCTGCCAACCAGACTCCTAAACAGCCCAAAGTCTGCCCTCTGGAAGTCCAAGGTGGCAGTCCTGCTGACCCCTCTCCTGACTTCTCCAAGAAGAGAAAACACTATCATTTTGTGATCAGTGTGCCCAAGACGGCCTCCAACCACCAGTCCTTCTCTGTTAGTGAATTACAAGTCCAGTGGGGCACCTTCCCTGGTTGGTTCCCTCACCAGCTGTGTCAGGAATTTCTCTTCCACACACTCTAGAAACCTCCAAGATTGCCTCCTCTCTGCTGTGTTGTATTTCCAGCTGACATCTGGCAAGTTGAAGTCCCCCACGAGAATGTGGGGGACTGTGATCCCAAGATATCCCCTAGCTGCTTGTAGAATATTTCATCTACCTCCTCATTGTGGTTGGGTGGTCTATAGCAGACCCCCACCATGATATCTGCCTTGCTGGCCTTCCCCCTGATTCTTATCCACACAGTAACCCAATGGGAAAGTGGTGGGACTGGACATTTATCTTCCAGCCAGGGGACTGAGGCAGGGTGGTTTGGCCAGGATGCTGAGGGGACCCTGGCAAAACCAGTGATGAACTGGAGCCTACAAAGACCTGATCCACCTGTTGGAGCCACAAAGTCCATCTTGCCTGCAAGGATTTCTGTGCCTCCTGGAGGGATCCCACTCCCAAGCAGTTGGTGCAGCTGGGTGACCTCTGGGGTCAGCGTGGATGCTGTGTCCATTGTGTAACCAACATTTGGGGAAAGATGCATCCCGTGAAGCTTTTGCATGCCTGCAGCTGGGCTGGTTTCCACTCTCCCTGTCAGTGGGGCTGCAGATGGCTGAACCCTGCAGGTAGTTGAAGATGTGCTGGAGGCGTCAGCATCCAGGACATTGGAGAGGGAAGAGGGGACATCATGCTTCTACTGTTCAGAGTTGCTTTCAGAGAGCAACTGATGCAGGAGAAGCTGAGCATGTTGCAGCACATTGAAGATGCTGCTGCGATTGCCAGGACAGTGGAGACCATGTGGAAGCCATCCTGGACCACAATGTGTCACGTTCCCAGCCTGGCCTTTTTTTGGACAGCATGAGTGGTTTTGTGTTGGCCCCTTGGCCATGGGCAGCCTGAAGGCAGGCACCGTGGTGGGGGAAGGAAGGCTGTGCTTTGCTCATGGAGACATGCTCACTCCTATCTCTGGTGGGGGAAGGAAGAGGTGACTCCTGGCTCCTGAAGCCCATCGCTTCCTGGAAGAAGAGCTACCATCACATATGAACCATGTCTCAGGTGGCTTTCGCACACCCAGCAGTTCCCACAATGTGGTCTGGGGTCCCCGATGGAGATGCCTGCAGCTTCCCAGAGTTCTTCAGCAATTGCTTTCCACGTCTTTCGATCAAAGCCTGATAATTTCTTAAAACTTGGTCCATAAAGACAAATTATGTGATGAACTTCAATGTCCAGGAGGCATCCCCTGTGTTGGTCGGTGGTAGAGGGATTCCTGCCTGCTTCCCCTCCTCTCCCCCTGCGCCCTTCCCCTCCCGTCCCTGGTGTAGTTTCTGGGCTCAGAGACCCCTTGACTGACAGGCTTTGCAGATGAATGCAAAAGGGAAATGAAAAAGGGAAGCGGTGCGTATTGCAGAAGTGTTGGAAGAGGTCAGGAAAACCCTGGGGACTCGCTGACATGGTAGATCTGGGGGAGGGAGCCGTTGGCTTAACCAGGCACAAAATTCTGCTTATCAGAAAATGGCATCAGATACCTTCCCTTTTTGAGGTTTGTGTTAACTGAAAGAAAACCCAGAAAAGTCTTTGAGAAACTGAGATTTTGAGCTGGTAAAGAGCTGCTGGGATGAGTTTGGCTGTGGTTGGTGGTTCCTGCAGGTTTCTGACACTAATGGCTAAAAGCCCCAGTGCTGTGTTATCCTGGTTATCAAACCTTCTTCCCCCATCAGCTTCCCCAGTATCCTGCAGCAGAACCTTGAAAAGCAAAGAAGATTGACCTGTTTGGAGTCCCAGTGAGGCTCCTGCCGGGCGAGAGGTTGCAGGAGGCAGAGGGCGAAGGGCTGTGGCAGCTCTTGCCCCAGAGGTGCTGCTGGGGTCACCCTGAGCCTCCCTCTGTGCTGCTCAGCCCAGGACCATCATGTGGTGTTGGGATTTGAGCAGCAACCTTCTTCTGATGGGGTGGGCTTTAACAGACCAGCCCTGTCCTGTCCCTCCAGTGCATGTGGGCTGTCGAGCCGGCATCTCCCTGCAGCAGGGGGGACTGTTCCTGCTCACTGCTCCGATAAGCCTAACCTAGTTTCTCAGTGGCATTGGGATGCTGCAGATCCGCAGTGATTTCATGCTTCTCCTGCCTGGTGCAGGTTGGAGCTGGTGCTGCTGGAGGACAGGCTGAAAGAGTTGGGGCTGTTCAGCCTGGAGAAGAGAAGGCTCCGGGGAGATCTTATAGCGGCCTCCCGGTACCTGAAGGGGCTCCAGGAAGGCTGGGAAAGGACTTTTCATAAGGGCAGTTAATGACAAAACAAGGGGAAATGGGTTTAAACTGAAAGAGGGGAGGTTTAGATTAGATATTAGGAAGAAGTTCTTCACTGTGAGGGTGGTGAGACACTGGAACAGGTTGCCCAAGGAAGTTGTGGCTGCTCCTCCCTGGAAGTGTTGAAGGTCAGGTTGGATGAGGCTTTGAGCAGCCTGATCTAGTGGAAGGTGTCCCTGCTGATGGCAGGGTGGTTGGAACTGGATGAGCTTTAAGGTTCCTTCCAACCCAAACCATTCTATGATTCTATGACATGTGGTGACAGCTCTGGGAACGGGGGTGACACTTTACATCCCCCTCACGTCACCCAGCACCAGCACTCAGCTCCCAGCCATGCAGGCAGGCTGCGGGCAAGCAGCAAACCTGCAGGAACACAGAAGTCAGCCTGGTTTGGTTTGGGCCATAAATGATTTGAAGCGGGAAACATGCTGGAGCCCTCAGGACTCGCAGCCGAAAAGAAGCTGCATGGGAGGTGGCTCCCCTGGGGGGGAAGCCTGGCCACCTGCCTGCACCCCGGGCTCCTTGTGGGGCTGCCAGTGGGTTTTGTGGGGGGAGGTTTGGGCACGGCACAGCTGATCTGAGGTCCCAGCAGCGAAGGTCTCTGCCTCCTCCTGCGAAGTGCTTGGGAATCCCACCTGGAAAAGACTGGGTTGGGCGAGCTTCCACCACCCCACCAAGATGTGTCTGGAGCTGGGAGCGCAGCTCACTGGGGCACGCAGGGTGCTCTGCACCCCACGCTGCAGCAGCAGCATTTCCCTCCTACAGGCATTTTATCTCCTCAGCTCTAATTTTGCTCCTGGTGTGGACCAGGAGGAGGGTTGTGCTGTACCCGCTGCAGGGCTGGCAGAGCATTTGGGGTTATTTCTAGGCAGGCTGGTGGGGTTTCTGTGCCTCCTAATGCTGTTTCACCTTGTTCCTTGCAGTCAGGACAGTTCAACGAAGACATGATCCCGACAGTGGGATTTAACATGAGAAAGATCACCAAGGGGAACGTTACTATCAAGGTAAGGTGCAGATGTTATCACCAGTGTGGGCTCTTGGGGTGAAAGGTGGGGTGAAGGGAGACTGGTGGGACTTCTGCTGGAGGCTTGAAAGGTGCCAGCAGCCCCAGCTGTAGCTGGGAAGATTTGCCTTGTTAGGTTTCTGCACCAGAGGAGATGGTGGGAAGGGATTCAGGAGATCTGCATTAAGAGCCAATCTGGGCTGCAAAGCTGGAGGTTTTCTTATACCTCTGGCTTGCTGGTGGGAACTTGTGGATGTGGTCACCTTGCTGAGGGTGGGAGTGCTGGAAAAAGCAGGTCGTGGCTTCCAGTGGTGGTCTCTGCTGCAAGAGCAAAGGGAGGGGAGATTTCTACCCCTTCAGGATCTTTCAAGGGCCCCAGGTTGGACTGTGAAATAGCGGTGGGATGGACTGAAAAGCTGACTGGGGATCTCTGCCTGCTGCAGAAACATTTCTGAGAGCGTGCTGAGTGCTTTGAAATGGCAAATGCATCAGTGAAAGGCCAGGAGGGGTGGTGGGCATGGGGAGGAGCCCCCAGCTTGGGCTTGGGGGTCCCTCCATGCCAGCAGTGGCACATCACAGGAGGTGTTCAGCACCCTTCAGCTGCCCTTACTGAGGTGTCTCCTTTCTTTATCGAGTCGGGAGCCTCCTTGATAGGTTTGAGATGAAGAGGAGGGCACGGGGATGGGTTTGGTACATGCCGGGTGCTCTGGCTGGGTGGCTGCGTGGGGAAGGGTCATGGGCAGGATGATGGGATAATGGGCAGGTTGGTGGGGTAACGGGCAGGACAGTGGGATAGTGGGCAGGTCAGTGGGGTCATGGGCAGGACGATGGGATAGTGGGCAGGTCGGTGGGGTAATGGGCAGGACGATGGGATAGTGGGCAGGTCAGTGGGGTCATGGGCAGGACGGTGGGATAGTGGGCAGGTCAGTGGGGTAATGGGCAGGACAGTGGGGTAGTGGGCAGGTCAGTGGGGTAACGGGCAGGACAGCGGAGTAGTGGGCAGGTCGGTGGGGTAATGGGCAGGACGATGGGATAGTGGGCAGGTCAGTGGGGTAATGGGCAGG